AGGAAATTAGTATATACTGACGCATGCTCAATAATCCAGGTAGAAAATAATCTAAAAAAGTTGAGTCTGGTCCTCTGGACATTCAAAAAACAAAACAAAGCAAAACAACAACAAAATGTAGAAACGTTTCGTCTCTCATCCTGAGGACTTCCTCAGTCTGAGGTGCTGTATTCAGCTCAGTCTTATAAATAGCACCTTCTCAGAGAGGATCAACCAGTTTGCTGCTGACAACCAGAACCAGCTGATCACATGCTCAAGAAGGACCATCAGCCTAACAATGGATCATTAGCACACTGATGGCTGTTTACTGTTCACAGAGGGCTGAGTGATACTAGCAATCACAGCATTGTAAGAGGGGGACAGTTGAACCTGGAGGCTCCGCCCCTGTTTAATGATGGACGGTTTCTTTTCACAAAGATGGCCTCCTTTACTCCTCTCTCAAACCATCGTTCCTCTCTGTCCAGGATGTGAACATCTTCATCCTTGAAAGAGTGACCGCTGGCCTGGAGATGAGTGTAGACCGCAGAGTCCTGGCCTGATTGTTGATCTTCTGTGCTGGTCCATCCTTTTGGCCAGTGGCTGTTTAGTTTCCCCGATGTAAGACTGATTAAGGAAATTAAGAGTTAACAGTTTTGACTTGTTTCAGACATTTTTATTGAATGATCAAGTCACAAGTGAGAGCTGGTCAAACCGTACCCGGGTTCAACCCCTTTACTCTTGCACAGCCTCAGACCGGAGAGGTCCTTGGTCTTCATGATGGATCTCCTTGGCAGTAGCCCAAAGCAAGTCTTGAACCATACCAGTTGATCTTTTTGACCCAACTCTGTGGCTATAGGGCATGGAGGGGGCTTTGTTATTTTTGAGTAAAATAATTAAATTAAAAAACTTTTAAACGTTCAGTTTGTGGGACGACAAATTGTCCGGATTTTAAACCGTCTGTAGGTCGATAACAGCTGTTTAGTTGCTGGGACAATATCTGGGTCGTTATCTCAAACGTCAGCAAAGTCCCAAATATTGGGTCAAAGTTTGACCCGGAGCTTCGGTCGGACATGAACCATAATCCGCCATTTTGAACCAGAACTGGACCAGACCTCTGCTTTAGGATGCAGTAACTAAAGGTAAGGCGGTAAAAACAAACCTATCAGAAGATGTTTAACCTGCTCGGTTTGTTCGTAACTTTAGCTTTTACAAAACACGGTCCTAAAATAACATTAGCCGGTTGGTGCTATTCCAGCTATTTGTTAGCATGAACCTGTTATAAAAAAATGCATTTTCTAAAATAAAAAAAGTGAACACTGAGAGCTGAAGGACTTTGCTAAAATGTGCTTTATTCACTTCAAAGCTCAAAGAAGCTGAACACTAGCTAAAAGCTAAGCTAAAAGCTGAAATAGAAAACAGTTTCACATAGACCACAATAATCCAGATTTTAGCTTCTTAAAACATTTTAATAGCTGTAATTCAGCGGTTAACCCAGTCTGCAGGATCAAACGGAACCTGTGGCGCCGGTTCGGTCCAAATCGGACCCAGCGTTGGGTTACTCAGCAGTTTTTAGACGAGTATTTTAAAATGAACGACGTGCGTTTGTTCCTTGATGTTCAAGATGTTTGTCAGCTTTGGGATCAGTTTTCTTCAGTCATGCATGTTTTCCTGTCAGGAAGTCCGGTCCAGGGTCCGTGCGGGTCAGAACAATGCGAGCTCAGAACAACAGAGCTCTGAACAATAGAGCACTCAAGAAAACTGGGTCCCCGAAGCCTCAGAACGGGCCTGAAGAGTGAACAAAGCTGAGATAAACGAGGAATGACGTCATCGTTCAGAGGCCAGCAGGGCCCTGGACCAGGTTCTTCTCTGCAGGTGGACCCTGGAGTCCAACCAGGACTTGATACCGGACTCATCTGATGTGACACATCTGGATCAACAGCTGTCGGTTTGTTGGTCCAACTCATTTGTGAAGCTTCTCTCGTTACCTGAAAAGCTGCAGGTGTGGATCTCCGTGATCTTACCTTCGCACGCACTCGGACCAGCTGGACCAGAACCAGGACCTGCTGTTCTCTGCTGCCCCAGCAGCCACGTTCTGGTGTTCTGACCCATGGCAGTCCTCGGACCTCTCAGCCCTCAGGTGTGGGGATGACTCTCAGCTACTACCACACCTGACTTTAGCTCAACATTTGTAAAACAGAGTTAGAGCCTCTTCAGTGTTGGAAAAGATCCATTAGCTGTGGCGGCCATATTGAATCAGGCTAAAGTTAATCATTAGCATTCGATCAGTCTCCCATCACGCCGACACCACCATCTCTACAGCGAAGCACGGTGTTGGCGGCATCATGATGTGGGTTTCCTTCAGCTGAAACTGGGCAGTGTGTGGATGTGTTTTAGAGAACTGGTTTTATAATAAATTAATAAAACCCAACATCAACTTGGGAGTTTTTATTCAGTTTTCCTCATTTAAAAAAAATGCACTTTTACACAAAATTAAACGAGTTCACATTTTCCCATGAATAACAAAAAAAAAAAGTCGGTTGAGGAGTTTTTCCTTTGAACAATAAAACTAAATTCCCAACAATGATTTCAGGTCTTATGTACACATTAAACATCCACCAGTCAGAACGTGCCGCCTGTGCACCGTGTCGCTTATTGAAAAACAAAAACAAACCCTGCCACGCCCACAGAGGAGAGCTGTAAACAAAACCACGGTAAAGGTGATCCTTTTTATTGCTTAAAGACGGAATTATCCGTACAAAATAAACAAAACGTCCAACAAATATTTACGGTCTACTCAACAAATATATACAAATATATATCTGAGCAAAACAAATCTGGAAGAATTAAATAAAAACGACGCAGAAATGACAGAAACAACGCTCTGCTCTCAGTGTTTTTAAGAAATGGAATAAAATACAGCAGAAGAAAAGGACTCCTGATTTTACTGTTCACAGGAAAATAAAATTAATTACAGAACGGGTTTGTTCTGGTTCAGGTCCTCAGAGACCCAGGTCTAAAACGTGGCTGCAGGTTTTAAGGCACGAGAACGGAGGCGACGGGGGATTTTAGACGCTCCTAAACACCAAAACATAAATACAAATAAAACTTTTAATTTGATTGTTCTACATTTTAAATTATAGCATTTAAATAAAATGTTAGCGCCGCCGTCCAAGTAGATTTTTAAAAGCGTTTGAGCGCCTCACCCATACAAAGTGAATGATTTAATAAAGAAAGTAATTTTTTAGATGCCGTCCACATGGAGAGGTTTTGTGAAAATGGTAGATTTTAAAAAAGATTTCAGCCTCGCATCAACAAAGAATCTGTGTTTTAGGAGCCCTGAAATGTTTTTTTAAATTATAATCTGGTTCCAGAAAAAAAAAAAAAAAAAGGAATCTTGAAATGCCACCTTTTTATTGTTGTGTAAACAAAATCAAATTTTAAGTCTGATGATGTCATCGCCCCACCTTTAACCCAACCGCGTCTCGTTTCCGGTTTTTGAAGCGTTTCGTCTTTTACCTCGAGGTGCTCTTAAATAAAACGTGTTAATAAATGTATGATTTAGAGAACCTGTCTCGTGTGTATGAGCACATCTTTGAAAACAACAAATTATAAAAGTAAAACGTTTTCATGTGGACGAGGTTAGAAATGCTGACGTTGGTGTCAAAATAAAGAAGTTTTCTAAAACGGTGCCGTTCAAACCAGAACAACTCTGGAGTCGTGTTTTTTACTCTACGCCCGTCTCCCTTCGTCCTGAGTCCGTTTCCATTAAAGTGTAAACCTGCAGAGAAGCTTCTAACTGAGAGGAAACGACGTAAACGTGTCGGAGAAAAACGAAACCCTTCCAAAAAAAATAAATAAATAAATTTTCAGAACATTTAGTGAACTTTCTAACAGACTCTGGTCATCGTTTTTCAGTGAAAACTGAAATAATTCACATTTAAACTGGACGTTTAGATGTTTGGTCAAATAAATTTACACCTTGTGTCGATTTATTTTATATGTCAGAGACAAAACAACCGGTTCCACCAAGTTAAAGCACCTTAGTTAGCGTAAAGGTTAGATTAAGATCCACCCGCTGATCATTTATTCAGTATTTCCATCAGTAGTTGTCTGATCGTGTCCTGCAGGGACAAATAAAGTTTGTTGAATTGAATAAAATGTCTGCAGCAGCCACGTTCAAACGTTTAATTCACTGCGTGAAGATTCGCCCAAACTTTAATATAACGTGATGTCAGCTGGCTTCATAAAGATCAACTATTTAAACATTTTCAAAGTTTGTTTTTGACCAAAGCATCCATTAAAATCGTGGGTCACTTTGACCCAAGGGCAGCAGGAGGGTCATTTCGGTTTTGAGATTTTTGTGGCAATTAAAATATCTGCATTCTTTTCAAATTAAGAGTTTTGGGCTCCGAGACTCCATTTAATGACTTTAGGAGCCTCAGATAATTTTTTTTTAATCCACTGTTAGAACAAATATTTACATTTTATTCAATTTGAACTGAATAAAAGAGAAAATAAAATATTTAGCCCTTATTTGTTTAATATTCAAGGTTTAGGATATAACAAACTTTGTATAAATTTCATTTGAAATACAAAATATTTAAACATTTACCTTGTTTGTGTCTAAAAACTGCAGTTTATGGAGTTAGGATTTATTCACACAAAAGTCAAGATTTAATTTAAACTAAAACGATTTGGGATAAAATCATTTAGTGCTAAAAACAAAAACTGACAGTTTTTGTTTTTAGCGTTTGGTTTTATTTCCCCGGTTGTTGGTTAATTTTGAGTTTAGTTAAAGTAATCCGTGTAAACGAGGAACGTGAAGAAAAGGAACACCACCACAGAAGTCGTGGATCGTCTGAAAGGCAGAAAAGTTTCAAGTGTAGAACTCAGAACCTCGGATCAGAACGGCTCCCATCAGAACCGTGGAAGAGCTCGGAGGTCCCGCCTTAACTGATTCTACTCCACACAAAAACCACCTGGTGGTTCAGAAGGTCCTGGTGGTTCCAGGGAGTCCTGGTTGTCCAAAGAGTCCCGTCTCCGAGTTGTAAAACGGAACCTGAAGGTAACGCGGTCCCCTGGACCGTAGTTCTGTCAGCTTAGTTTGTGCTCTTGAGCTCGAAGCGGCTGTAAACCTGCTTCGGCTTCTTGTTGTACTGGTTCACCAGGTCCAGTTTGCTGTGTCCCAGCGTCATTCTCTTCTGGTCCTGTCGGCTTATGAAGCCCGGCGGAGACGTCGGAGGCGGCGGGCACTGACGGCTCTCTGGTTCGGGCTGACAGAGGTCCGGTCCTCCCCATGGGGAGGAGCTGAGAGGGGACGGGGATCTCCGGTAGTTGTACGTTTCTTTGTCTTTGGGAGACGGCGAATGGAACAGGTCTGTGAGTTTGTTGAGGAACTGGGCAGAGTTGTTCGAGGGCGTTCTCAGCTTTGGGTTAAGCTTGGTGTCATTGACGGGGGAGGTTTTCTGGATCTTAGGGTTCAGGTTTGAGTTCTGGGTGCTCTGGAACATGCCTGGTTTGTGGTCGTAAAGCCCCATCTCCTGAAACTTATTAGACGTGCTGCCAATATTCCCCCGCTTGATGTCCACCTGGTTGGGCTTGCTCCAGTCGAGGCCTGTCGGCTGACCGTAGGACGGCGGTGGGCGATCAGGGATTGGGTTGTGGCTGGTTCCTCCATTCGAAGAACCTCGTACTGCCGGGGTTTGTCCCGACACTCGTACGGCCCCTACAACTCTCCTCTCTGGGCTCTGATGAGACGAGCCGGCGGGCTCCTTCTCGTGACTCTGAGTGACGTTGTAGATGTTGTTGGACTTCATCCCGGGAGCAGCCTTGATGCTGGAGACGCTGTTACTGGAATGGCTGCTGGAGTTTTCAGAGAACGCCCGGTCCCGTTGCCTGCAGACGGAGGAACAGATCAAAAACTGAAGACTTTCAACCCTAAACTGTCCAACATGTGCATGCTTCTCCAGGCTGGAATGATTCTACAACACAACTGATTTCTAAAACCAAGTTTGAATTTATTCTGGATCCTCACTGACCCAAACAGGGTCACTAGTCTGGATTCCTGCACCAACAGTTGGGTTGGAAACCTTCTTACCTGTCAGAGAGTAGATCCATCCCCAGGGCCCCAATCCCCATGTTTAGTCCAGGGACCATCATGGCTGGGTATGGGGGGTAGTAAGGCATCCCCTCGTCCTCCTGGTTGTCGAAACAGTCGATGATCTGCGAGTCGGCGTATAGACAGCGAAACTCCCGATCAAAGCTGTCGGCGATACGACCTGAGAAGTGCATCACCATGTTGCTGTGCACCTGAGCCGAAAGCCAGGTGAAACTGGAAAACAGAGGAGAGCGGGTGTTATTCTCTGCTTCCATCAGGTGAGGGGAAGGAAATCTGTCTGGCCTCAGGTCGGCTGCCCTACCTCTACCCCATCTTGGCACCCCATTTAGGCACTTAAAAGGTCAACAGGCGAATTTTAAAGTCTATTCTGATACGTAGAGGGACCAGTGAAGGGAGGATAAAACTGGTGAAATATACTCAAACCTACGAGTTCCTGTTAGTAACCGAGCTGCAGCATTTTGGATGATCTGGAGACGTGAAAGGGAGACCTGACTGACCCCAACATAAAGCATATTACTGTAGTTTAGTCAGGCTGTAATGAAGTCATAGACCAGTTTTTCAAGGTCAGATCTGGTCAACACTGACTTAAGCTTAGTGAATATATGGCTCAAGAGACTCAAGGTTTACAGGAATGGAAGCTGCAGTAGTTAGGGCATGTGTGTCAAACTCAAGGCCCGGGAGCCAAATGTGGTCTTCGTTGACATCTTGTATGGCCCCCAAGATGTTATTTTAAATGTAAAATGCTTTTATCAATTTAATTTTTTTCAGTAACCTTTGATTATGATGTCAAAAGTGCAACAGAGAACATCAAATGAGACCAATCAAACTCTTGTTGAGGAACCTGCAACCAAGAAGATGTTTGGTATCTAACTTGAGTTAATGCAGATTCTGAAACCGGCCCTTAGTTTGAAAAAGGTTTTAATTTTGGCCCCCTTTTGTAAGTGGGGTTGACACCCCTGAGTTATGGCTAAACACAATAACTTTAGTTTTCTGATTGTTAAAACTTTAAAAAATTGAAGCCATCCATGCCTTAATGTCATGAATATATTTTTAAAAGGGGTGAATGGAGCAAGAACTACTGGGTTTTAAAGGCAGGTAAATCTGACAATCATCAGCATAACAGTGAAAAGAAAGGCCATGTTTCCTCAGGATAGACCCCAAAGGGAACAGAGACAGTGAAAACAGAAGGGTTCTAAGAATTGAGCCCTGTGGAACCCCGCAGGAAAGAGGCACTGAAGCAGATAAACTATTACCAACATGAACAAGTTTGCTAACAAACTAACCTTTTGTATTATCCAGAGGACTAAAACTCCCACTTTACTTTACTAAATACAACTTAAATGAAACAACATCTGTTCTTAATTATAAACCAGCATCTAACAAGACAAGCTGCAGTGGAAACTGACTTCTGAACGACTGCTAAAACTAGCTGAAGCTGAAATGAGCTGAAAGCTAAATCTAGCAAAATGCTAGCTAAAAGTAGAAGAATATTTAGCCTAAAGAAGCAAACTTGGCTAAAAACTAGCAGTGGTAAATTGTTAGCTAAAAGTAGTGAAACGCTACAGAAAAAGCTCAAAGTAGCAAAATGCTAGCAAAAATGCTAAAAGTAGAAAATGCTTTCTGAAAGTGAAAAAAGAAACCAAAAGCTGAATGTAGCAAATGACTAGCTAAAACCTAAGTACCAAACAGCTAGCTGAATACAACTTTATTTACTATATACTTTTATTACTAATAGAAGTGATATTAGTATTAGAACTAATATTAGAAGTAACAGTCTTAGCATTAACGGCTTTAAGTGTTTTTATTCTTTTAATGCGTTTTAAATGTTGATTTAATGATTTTACATGTACAGCACTTTGTTGCAGCTGTGGTTGATTTAAAGAGCTTTATACACAAAATTATTATTAGTAGTAGCAGTATAATTAGCATTAGCACCAGTACTAGTAGAAGCAGAATTTGTTGTAGTATTTAGGATTAGTATGAGAATTAGCTAATTAGCAATAGTAAGATTACACTTGCAGTTATGTTAGCAGCAGAATTAGCAGCAGTCGTAATGGGATCATCAAGACTAGCATGAGTAATATTTGCATTAGCAGTAGAAAAATTACCCGCGAGTATTAGGATTAATATAATTAGCATTAGTACTATAAGCACAATAACGCCGATGTAAAAAGGAAAAATGCTTTTTATGAACTGAGACCTGAATGTGTTTTGTTAGGGTTATTTTTTTTTTGTAAATAAAGTTAAAATATTTTTAAAAGTATAAATGTTACAAAAACCAAAGGTCACAGGCCCATCTTCTGAACGAGCTGAACGTTTGCAACATGAACAGATAAAACAAAGTCCGCTGAAGCAGTTAGACGCCATAAAACATACAAAAAATAATTTCCAGTAAGGAAACCGTTTGAATGAGGGTTCAGCGTTCATGCAGTAAGGACTTTTTTTTTTTTTTTAATTGCAGATAAGAGTCGGGTCAGTTTCTGTAAGAGATTTATGATAAGAACATGGTTCCTCCTGAGGTCAGATGGTTGTCCTCAACTACAGGTCATCATCATGTAAAAGAAACCTGGATCAGCTGCAAATGATCCTCCTGCAGCTGCAGAGAGCTTCAACTCAGTGGAGGACCGTCAGAGCAAGCAAAGCCTTCTCTGCTGGACTAACACAATCAGAATAACTAACGTACATTTTAGTATATTTTTTCTTTTTATTAATGTTATTCTGAAATGTCTGTTCTCTTAATTTCAGAACTTTCCTCCTGGTTGTGCAGCTTCCAGCAGCATATGTTTATAAAGAGCTTTTATCCAATCCTATTTCGAGCATCATCTGTTGCTAGGGTCAAAGAAATCTGCCTCGAGGCCTTCACAACCAACAGTGCAGGGGGGGAAGGGAAGTCTGAGAAGGTCATCGTTGTATGTTCCCATACAATGGTGACATTAGTTCTCTGCATTTAACCCATCACACCTGAGATACAACCAGGTGGAGCAGTGGGCAGCTATGTAATGACCGAGGAACTGAATGCTAGAACGACATGTATGACAGAGGAACTGAATGCCATGACGACATGTATGACAAAGGAACTGAACGCCATGACAATCTCCAGGACAGATGAACTGAACGCCATGACGACCTCGAGGACAGAGGAACT